GACGGGAGGTCTGGGGAGACGCTGTGGTGGGAACACAGGGGTTCCGTAAGGGTACCCGCCGGGCTCGCGGCGCTTTTGATGGAGCTGGTTGGAAGCGTGGTGCTCGGTTGTTTCGGCGGTTGCGGAAAACATTTCGGGTTTTCTTCCTGTCGTTTACTTGGTCAAAAGTAGTACGTTTCGAGTTTCCCATCGGACGTGGAGGAATAACCCCCCTCTGCTGCCATGCCTTCCCCTCTGCCCCCTTCCTCCCGGGGGCAGACGCAAGCGCAGGTGCTCGGCTGATTTTTCTCTGTTGCACGCGCACCGATATGATCTTAGTTAAATTATTTATAATTATCCCCCGGAGCCCCGGGCCGGCGGGGGGGAGCGGGAGCAGCCGGGGCCGGGCGGCAGAGCGCCGGGAACAAAAGAGGCCTCTTCCTCCGCGTGGTGCAGAGGATCCCGAACAAAAGGTTCACGTTCCCCTGCGCTCTTCTCCCCCCCAACCCCACCCCCCCTCCTTTCTTTTCTCCTGCTCTTCGATGGAGATTTAAGCGGTTCTTTTTGTGGCTTAAATTTCTCCATGCTGCAACAAGAAACTAGCAATTAACTATTATAAGGCTGTTTTACAGTCCTGTGGAAACCCTTTCCATCCACTTTGTTTTAAATGGGTGTATCTTTTATTCCTAGTTTTCGGGAGTGTAAAACTTTACAGCATTTGCTGCAAACCTTCATACTTTGCTTCGCAGTTTATTGCTCCCTCTGCAGATATATCTTACTCATAAATAAGGCTTTCATCTCCACAGTACTTGAGTAGGAACCGCAATGCCTCCGAGCAGTTTCATCAACGGGACTTTGCCTAGAAATCACGGCGTGTTTCATCTCCAACCTCAGCCTTTCCTTCGCCCGACAGTGCAGAGCCCTGCACGAGGGCCGTGGCGGCAGCAGGTTGCTCAGACAGGTTATCCGCGCCCCGGCCGGCAAATCCCCACGGCTCTGGGCGACGCGGAAGACGCCTCCAGAAAGTCTGGTGCGAGCTG